TTAAAAATAAATCTACTCTTTTTTGGGTACCATAGCCCACAGGGCTGACGTGCCGCGGATAAGGTCGATAAATTGGCCAAGGAAAGTTCGACGAGGACACCCCCTGAACTCTTTGCACTATACGAAATTGCGCAGATTCATCAGACAATGGGTTAAAATTGAGTCGGTTTAAGGAGAATGTATTCTAGGGCAGAGACATGAGAAAAACTTCATACAAGGAGTATCGCAGAATATAACGGCAGAATTACTAAACTTAGAACGTGGTGACTGGTCTCTCCATAATCCGGAAGCAAATCTATAAACTCGGAGCAGGGGACACAAGCCTATGCAGTTTTTTCCGGTTAGAACAAGAAGAGCGTTTCAGTCCATGGTATGAAGGCTTTATGTAGGCCGAAGTTAGTATACACATGGGAGCTGTTTGTTACAACAGATTGCAAAGTTTTCAAATCTCATAATAAACCTTAAGATGAATTAATAGGGTCTAGTCAATTATGAAGAAGCACAACAGACCAATATCGGCCGCTGTGTGTAAAGTCGTAATGAGGCCGGCTTCTAATTATTGTAAACCTGAAACCTAACTTATCCCAATTTTTTTTCTGCCTGATAATTATAATATTGAACCGGCATTTGGTTACTTACAGGGTCCGTCACGAATCGTGCGTTTTTGATGATATCAACTCGCTTCAGTGGTAGTTAGGTTATTTTGCCTATAAGTTTGATATCATAACGCGCAGATCTGATGAAAAATTTCTTGGTTTAATAGATTTATTATCAAACTAAGCTATCATAACTGTAACGATGCTAATATAAACTAATTATTCAGAAATCGTGAGATGCGGCCTGGTGTGATGTAGGTTTCAGAAAAACAATTTCTTTATCGTGCCAACGTTTCGATCTTTATTGAGATCATCTTCAGGGCCTGGGATTTACAAACATTGTTTACATTTAACAAATATATTTAGGATGTGGAAAAGTGAATTTATACAATGCAAAATATATTTTTTATATTCAATGAAAGTATTTCTATTCTCCACATCCTAAATGTATTTGTTAAATGTAAACAATGTTTGTAAATCCCAGGCCCTGAAGATGATCTCAATAAAGATCGAAACGTCGGCACGATAAAGAAATTGTTTTTCTGAAACCTACATCACACCAGACCGCATCTCACGATTTCTGAATAATTATCGATTAACGGTCACTAATCACCACAAATTTCCACACGATAATATAAACTTTGATTTGGAGCTAACAAACGTAAACAAAGGCAATGAACAGAGCAAGTCATAATGTCTAATCTAATCTCCAGAGTCCATATTATATATAAATGAAAGAAATAGAGGAAATCTCAATGAGGTTGAGTCGTAGCACAATTCATAAATATGCACTCAAATAATTTTAGTTAAAAATACCAATAGTTAGTCAATTTGACAATTAATAAGAACCAGGCACTTAATATAGCGCCAATAATTGAATGTTATTATTCATGTGTATCATTTTACTCGTCATTTTTTTCACAAAGAAACTAAGACAAATTTGATTTTTGAACCTTAACCTAATTTCGGATTTTTTTTTTTATGAAAGAAGAAAGTGGAAACACAGGAGAACGGAATTCGTGCGCATAAAGCGGGCGATTACGTACGTTTCCTGCTTGACCAGGAAAAGTATTAAAATTTCGGTGTTTATTGCTTGTTCTTACAAGCCCTGTAATTATTTCGATGAATCTTCAGGTTTTTCTTTTGAAATGGATGAATAGTTCATTTTTTAAAATTTAATTTACCTTATCAACAGAGAACAATGACAGCTCTACTTGGTATGTACATCACAGGTTGGGATGAAAAGTATTATTATTGAATTTTCACCCACCGAAAGCAGAAAAGCGTTTTGATTTTTTAAATGTAATAGATTGAAATCTAGAAGAATTTAAAGTGTTGTAGTTTGTTCGTTCCCGACACATTTTGGTTTCCCTAAACTTACTAATATTTTACTTGTGTATTATTTAATGTGCAGTGATGGGTTTCTTGTCTTCTCTCACCCTGTCAGTTTCATATGCAGATGTAAATATTTTTTAAAGTCTTTGGTCAGTCTTGTCCTTTTATAAGTTTGCTTGTAATTCAATTTACAGTTTACTGTACGAACACTAGATGCCTAGATATCAAAATGGCTAGTTGCCGAAACGCGTATGATGGAAAAATCAGCGAGGACAGGCGGACCCAGGTAATCGAACAGACTAATCTACTAGTTCCTCGCTATTTTGATCTGTCATACACGTTTCGTTGTTTTTCGTCTTCTGTGGTTTGTCAAGGTTGTAAGCAGGGTGAGGAAAGAGAATAGAGCAGCATTGAAGGTGCGAAATGCCAAAAAGAGTCTGACAAACTCCAGCCAGGATAAACTAAAGATAAGGACAAGTGATTGGCCATTCGACCAGAAGAAAAACGTTACAAAACAAGGGGTGTTGGTTGGATAAAGTCGTTGAAATTTACATTTTTTTCTTTTCAGAGAGAGTTAATGGTTAATTCCTTCGGTTATTTCGTAGTTTGGTCGTTGTCCATTATTTTTAACTGTCTACGTTGTTTTGTTCTAACAGGAGGTTCTGACAAAAAAATATGATGTTCCATTTTCCAAAAAGAGCTTTACAATCTACACGTACTTTCCGCCGTTCAATTTTTCATAAATTCGAGCATTATCATGTTATCATTTGTATAATTTTATAAGACCCTTGCATAAATCATACGAGCCGTTTCAAAAGGTTAATCAGCCAGGGCGAACGAAAACGCCAAAGCGGCGTCGCACCTGGACGGTTTCGAAACTGATTCCACAGCTGTTATCAGGAACGAATTTCGGTTAGATTGCATAGGAATGAACGGGGCAGAATCCGCCCTCGCCCTTTCCACGGCGATGATGACGGGCGTTTTGCCGGCATCTGCCGAGACCGTTTGCCGCCCGAGCGGCCGAGTTTCGCCGCCTTCCGAAAGGGAAGTCGCGAAGGTTAAGCAGATGGATCAAAGCAGATGACATGATCTGAAAATGAAAGAGAAACCGGTCACGAAACGAGGGGTATTAATAATTCAAGGGAGTTTTTTGAACAAGGTCTTACGATTATAAATGCAGACCTGACTTCCTGCACTAATGGTTTATTGAAATCAGAATTTTTTTTATACTATACTGGATAATACAATAGACATTGGTTCTTACTCTGATACAAAAAAACGATGTTCTTTCTGGTTTAATAATTTTAATAAACTAAAAATATACTGTTCTCTAGATGAACCTATTATGGATAAAATCGTCTTCTTAAAATATTTCGATTAAATGGAAAAATATTAGATTTGTAAATACCTATTACTAAATTGATCTTTCAAAGTAATTTTTTTTCGAGGGTTCGCAACATAAGGAATCATATCAACCCTCGGGGTGCCGGTGTTTTTGAAAAAAAGCCCGTCTGTAAGTATGTCGGGTTCGAATGCAGAGCCCGCTGGATCCGAACCCGCGACCTTTACCTTGCAGTGATGAGCGCCGTTTCAACGCCTAAACCGTTGCGGCCACCGACGCCCCCCGCCTAATGTTTTGTCAGCATGTAAAATACAGTGAAGGATTGTGAAAATAAATAAGAACCTGCACTTTTGTTAAAAGTTCATTTAAATAAAGTTATGTCGTGTCAGTTTTTTTCGCAAAAAGATGGGGAAAATTGAAACCAAAATTTGAAAGTATCTTGGTTGCAAGCCAATTTCGTACTTTGTCAATCTTTAGGAGTGATAAGGAGGATATTCTCGATAAATGGAAAAATCACTTATATTTTTTATATGATATGTTAAAGACTGTTGTTTACTCAAAGACAAAACACCGAATTGTTGTTTATTTATATTATGTATTTTTATCGTTATATTAATTACTTTATTTATTTTTTACGAGAGTTCACTACAGCAAAAGTCATATCAACCCACGGGGGTCCCGATGTTTCTGAAAAAAATACCATCTGTACGTACATCAGATTCGAATGCAGGGCCGAGTATTCGAACCCGGGACCTTTAACCGTACGCCTAAACCGTTGCAGCCACCGATGTCCGTTACAACTTATTTTAATGTAACGCAAAATAATTTAATAAAAAATATTTATTGACGAAAATTCACCGTCACCAGAAAAACATTTATTAAAATTTAACCAACAATTTATTACGTAGTTTTGATGCTACTGCTAATACACTAATGCTTATTACCTCCTATGACGTTGCAGTGGGTCGTAAGTCTTCTAGGCATCGAATAAATATAAGCGATCTGATTTAGTGAACCATTCTTCAGCAAGAGCAGTTTGAAGCTGTTCAACGCTTGTTGGTTGCAGTAAACGATGTCTAACACGTTTATTTAGCATGTCCCATAAGTGTCAGGGGAACGTTGACTGGATGCTCAGTACTATTGTCGATTTGACATTAGCCGATCGGTTGCTAGGCCTCTCTTCAGGCTGTTTTTTTTTTTTTTTTTTTTTTTTTTTTGTGAGATGCCAGTCATAACAGACCAGAAATTTTCAACCATCTGCCGTATGCAATGTATCTGATCAACTTCAATAAAGATCGAAACGTTAGCATGATAAAGAAATTGTTTTTCTAAAACATACATCATATCAGACCGCACGTCACGATCTCCAAATAATCATAGTTTTCAATGTTATGAACGGATTTGTCCAAAATCTTTTAATTTTGGAATTGTCATTTTTATTTGAAGCAAGGTCGTGAAAGCTTAAAAAATTCGGACCATAGTTAATTAGGGCTTTTTGGTTCCATTTTGTATGTAAAACCTACTGGCAAAGTTTGTAACACGAGTAGCATTACACCCTGTATAATCAAATCCAAGGATAAATGCTTAATGTATTATTAATTATTATCAGCTTAAAGTCAGAAATAATCGTGACCTAAAATGTTTTACTTAGTTTAAAAAAAATAACGCTTAATTGTATTACAAGAGTAAATTGTAAATAACTTTTAATATTAATTTGATTTTTTCGGACGGATTTGGTTCAATTGAGGCAATAATTTATCATTTGGCTGAACCGTCAACTTTCGGATTAGCGTTTATTGAATTGGGATAGCACGCGCCGAAAATCAGCAGAGTGTAACGGAGGTGTTACAGCTCTGCTCCGCATATGGCACAGGTGACGGTCACGGGCAAACCGCATACGCCACGCGCCCGAATGCCTATTACTTACGACTTCAACACAGACCCAGGTGCCGCACATATACCAGTTGACCAAATTCGATTAAAATCACACGTGCAATAATAAAGAGCAACCTCTGAAAATTACATTTCCTTTTATTTACACGCTGTCTCATGTCTCGGTGACATACTGAAGAGGCATCACGGTTAACCGTACATGCCAAAAAATTCATTATACCTGGTTTTAATAGGTGGCGGCCAGTACATACAATAACCGTCTCCTCGAACGGATTGCGTCTTTGGAAAGTGTTGCCAGTTGCTGTACGGACTCTTGTTTTTCCTTACCTTCCACTTTTTGTACGCCGGTTTAGGCTGAACGCTGAGAGATTTTAAAGAAACATTTTCGATTGAGAACGGATTCGCGCATTTTTCTTCAACAGTTTTATTGAATTGGTTCATACGAGGGATTGTTCTGAAACTGAAAGTTTTGAAGTTGTTTGACTGCTGTGTCAAGGAAATCGGGGGCATGTTGGCGGTGGGCTGAGGGCTGCTAACGCTCAACTTTTCCCGAAGATCGAACAAAAATCTGGACATGTTCAGCAATTCCGGCTTGTTAGCACCGTTTACGGTGTGATACCTTTGAAACGAGTTATCGTCGCGTGCTTGTCCTTTTGGTTTGATTTCAGGGCTTTCGACCTCGGATCTCGGCTTGACTTGTTGAGTTTCATCCTTCTCGGCATTGCAACCGCTCTTTTTTTCAGCATCACCTTCGGAACTGGTAACAGGATGTAAACCATCTCTATTGGATTCACCGTCAATATTGATATTATTCGAGTGAAAACTTCTAATTTCATTTTCTGTTTGTAAGTCATTACTGAAATTTCTAGTTAGCCAACTCATAAAATTCTGATTGTGAGTCGTTTTACCAGTAGTTTGAGGACTGCACTCATTGCGGAGACTGGAAGTTTTGATATTTCCTGAAAATTTAACTTGAGCCCTAGGAACCTCTTTGTTAAAGGAGTTAGGTTGATTTCTATATTGCGTCCCATTTGCGTCAGAGCTGATTGTTGTCTCATACCTCTCCTTACCGATGAAACTCGTTTTACTCTGATCCTTTTGACCGAACATAGAACGTTCGCGTGAAACCGACTGTGGTGGACAAGACGAATCACCCAAACGAGAAGGCATCTCATCCATTCCATAAATGTTGTAAGACATCTTGGGTGGTGTAAACTTTGCATCATTCGTTTCGTTTCTATTAGTTTCGCAAAGCTCTTTATCTGATCGTTTTGGACCCTGACATGTACGCAAAGGAAAAACGACCGATTTGATGCCACCACCGCGATATGAAGACATTTTCTTGATGTCCAGATTACCACATTTTCTTTTGTTACGTCTGCCCTTCTTAGCGCAATCGTTCGTATTCAATTGTTGATGTGGAATGTTACCTACATTGGTAGCCTCGATCTCCATCAACTCCGTCGGCGACTTGTCAATTCGACGCATTTTGACGTCAAGCTGCTTTGACGACGCTTTTCTCTTTCGATGCGTATCCGATCTGAACAAAAAAACTCTTTTTGTTTTTATCATCTTCAAGAACTGCGTGGCGTTAATCAGAGCCGGGTCGGTTTTTGGAACGCTGCCCCCGCTCGAAATGCGACGTTCCAAATTCCTGTATTCTTTTATGCAGGCGAGGGACGACAGTTGGGCTTGTCTTAGTACGAGGTTGTCCACTCGCCCCGGCAATTTTCGATTGATGTGAATCGCTGAAAAAGCCATAAATGCGAAATGAAAGATCAAGAAATTGTTATCACACAATTTTACCGTATTTAGTGAGGATTAAGTTAGTTAAAAAACGAAGCCCTTTCCTGTCCCTCCTCGAATCAAATCCTCTGTAATAACGATTATTAACACAACATTAAACGAATATAGTAAAACAATCTCGCCAAATATTTACCGAAATATTTCAAGTTGTGTATAAAAATATGGGTCAATGGTCATGAAGCCCAAACGGTTGGCCATCTCGCAATAATCTGTGTCTGGCACGTCGATTCGGCCAGCTTTGAAATATATTATCTAAAAATAAAATGTTTATTCGTTTTGTATTTTACACTAGAATTAAGGCATAAATAGGAACTTCGTACTTCTTCGATTAAAGGATCGCCGAAGCTGTCTTCAACCATAGGAAGGGCTTTCGCCATCATGAACAAGGTCCGCTTGGGCAGCTGGTTCTTCAGTTTATTCACAACGTCCTCGAGGATCGTCAGATTTCTGGAAAATTAACTTTATCGTTCTTTTCCAATGGAGAAAACCAAAACGGTTACCTTTTTGAACAGAAGCTGCTGAAATAAACTACATCCGGCTCCGGAACAATTCCATCTTTCATGTCGTTTACGTATTGCGCTATCCGATTAGGCTTCACGGTACTCATATGCAACAAGTCTATGCGGAAATCTTTCTATAAAATATATTATAATTATCACAGTTTTTGAAAGTAAAAATATTGAAAAAGTCGATTCAGTACTAGCACGCTGATAACAAGTGAAGCTAGTGCTGCAGAAAACAAGCAAAACGTTAAATTCCTCAAAAAGGAATAGAACGACAAAATAAGATGATTTTATGTTAAATTTCTGAAAAAATGATTATTCGGAGATGTTTAGATGCGGTCTGGTGTGACGTAGGTTTAGAAAATCATTTTCTTTATCGTGCCCACGTTTCGGTCTTTATTGAGATCATCTTCAGAGCTCAAAGTATTTGTATTCTATGCAGATGTGTCGTATTGAGAGTGCCACTCTCGAAACACAATAATGATACATCTTCCCAGAAAACAAACACGTTGAGCTCTGAAGATGATCTCAATAAAGATCGAAACGTGGGCACGATAAAGAAAATGTTTTTCTAAACATACGTCTCGCCAGACCGCATCTCACGATCTCCAAATAATCATTAACTAACGGTCACCAAACACCACACATTTTTGATAAAAATATTGAATTTATTGTAACATTGATGTTAGGGCGAAATCAGGCATAATTATTTTTATGACCAATTCGCACCACCATCACAAATTTATATGATGTACCAAGGTTTTAAAAATTGAAGACAGGTAGAATGGAAGGACTTATTAATTATCCCGAAGAATATCAAATACTCTGTGGTAGTGAATGAATGTGTGATTGCTATTTATTAGCGTGAATGGAGGAGCTTATTAACCCACTGATTACCTCACTTTTGGTCCTGTGCCTTAGGACTTTTGATGGCTTTTACAGAGCGTAGCTAACTAGAAAATCATGTTTTGCAAGAATTGAGGACGATGCCCAATATTGTTTGTTAAAAATATATAGAACAAAACCAGTTATCCAAACAGAATAAACTAGAACTTCTTAACAATAAATTATAAATTCATGTTGAACCGGCACACCGGCACAAAACCTATCATCTACTACAATTATAAATTCACTTGGGTCGTTTCCGATCATCTTGGTCGTCCTAAGTGTTTCAGCAGTTGGACATCACAATTGATCGGTTTGAGGTCTTGCCTCAACCTGAACCGAACCGTGTTTTAAACAGCAGTAAGCAGGCCAGAATCGAAAAGATCGTTCATCACCCCTTGAGATAAACCAGAAACTAATTGCTATTGCTGGGCCGGATTGGCGCTGGGAACGGTGTTTCGGTTGGGCCATCGGCCGACACCTCCTGGACCTTTCCGGCCGTACTCGTCTGGCGAACTTGCCCAAGTCGTGTAAGCCGCCATACCTCTACAAGGCTAGGTTCCTCGAACTTAGAAATAGATACGCCGGTTTTCGTCTGATTTTTACAGACGGATCCAAGACCGGCGATGGTGTGGCGTGTGCTGTGTATAGCGAGGGAGTGGCCACCTTTTGATCGTTGCCCCCTCATTGCAGCATATACACGGCAGAGCTGTATGCGATTTGGCACGCTCTCGAGGCGGTGCGGACCGAGGAGGGCTCAGCCTTCCTCATATGTACCGACTCTCTGTGTGCTGTCTGGGCTGTACGCGACAGGTTTTCTGTGGACCCTCTCATCATGCTCTTGTTAGAGAAATACGCGGAGCTGGAGTCTGTCGGAAAAACGGTGGTAGTTGTCTGGATTCCCGGACACGTCGGCCTGGAGGGTAACGAACGCGCGGACGAGACGGCGAAAGCCGGTACGTCCCACCCTCCGGATCGGGCCATCACGATCAGGCCCCCTGACGCTAAACACGCAGTAAAAAATATGATAAAAGAAAGATGGTATTGGGCGTGGTCGTCGGAGAGGCTCTTGCGAGTCAAGAGCATGACCGGTAGATGGTCCTCAGAGAACCTGAGCAGGAGACGAGGGATCGTCCTCACCCGACTGAGGATTGGCCATACGCGGTTGACACATGGGCACCTGCTTTTGGGCCAAAGCCCGCGCAGGTGCCCCTTATGGAGAGAAAGTTTGCTCGATGTGTCCCACATATTAGTGGCGTGTTATGCCTTTGCGCCATACAGAGAGCGTGTAGGCACGCCGCCGGACTTAAGAAAGGTTCTCGAGCACTGCAGCGAGTTTCAGGGTCCCCTGTTCCCCTTTTTAGGGGAAATTGGGTTATTTTTTTGTATATAGTATGTCTTATGTGTTATGTGTCTATATGTTTTGTCTGAGTGCATGTATTTATTAGCGTGACTGCCGAGGGGTGAGGGTGAAATATAACGTCATCATCACCCCTCGAACGATGAGAGCGTAAGAGTGTGTGTTCGGGGTCGATAAAAGTACTCCAACGACCCCAATCTAGATTAGTTTGAGTATAGGGTCGGTGGAGGAATATCAAGTACTCCACCGACCAAACGGAATGAGTGTACTGTATTTGTAGGAATGTATTGCTATTGATTGTGGAACTAGCAGTGCGTTAGCTACGGGGTCCGTCTACATTCGCAGGTTTTGATGCCAGACAAACGCGTTTAGGCTTTGCGTCATCTTCAGTAAGGAACTCTGGATTGACCAAGTAAATCACTCATTGCTGGTTCCACATGTGACCAATGATTCACACACAACAAACGGTTGGTTTAACCGCGAGATAATTATTTCTGATTAGTTTTTTGATCCTCAGCGTAACATTGCTATTCTGTCTGACAAGATCTTTCAAAAGAGCAACATGTTTTCATAAAAAATTAAGTTTATTGCTATTATAATTGTTAATTGCTTACGTTGTACGATCTGTGTTCAGAGAAATGCCAAGAGTATTCGTTTCCGTCGTTGTTTAGAACTCTGTCATCCAAAAACGAGTTTCCTAGCTAAAACGATAACTTAATTAACCAATATTGACCAGTTTTGTGTGATGTAATAGGATTTCCATTCATACATATACTGGAATGTCGAATTCAACAGGTGTTTCATTGTAATTTAAAAAGCAATAAGAAAATATTGTCCCGTTATATAACCTCTTTTATAATCGAATATAATCTATTGCTCTTATAAAAGTAATTGTAAAGATTTAGTTCGACCATCGAGAAATGAATCTGATTAGAGTTATGTGCTATTATTTAAAGTCAAATGTTATTATAAAAATTCTTACTTTTCGCGAGAAATAGCACGCTGTGACAAGACCTTCTCGGGAGACGAGCCACAGTAAATCTTTATAGAGTGATCGGACGTCTTAAAAGGAAAAAAATATCAATTACACAACAAATAAACTGAGCAAACTTGCGAGCATACTCGAGTCTCCGATGAAGAGGATGTATTTTCGATTAAGTAGGGCCTTGGCGTCGTCTTTGCTAAAAACGTCAGCCATTGCAACGGATAAATTGTGAAAAAAAACTCCTTCCTTATATTTTAAATAACAAAACAATAGGAAACAAAAATAACATCAACAATGTCAACGAAACGTTGACAGTTTAACAATATTCCATAAAAAGTTAGTGAACATGTGTTGATTTCTGATAATATAAAACAGATTGAATTTTTAAAATATTTGTTTTTTAAAGATATTTCTGCTAAAATGTTTAAACCAAAGGATAGTTTCAAAACTTGCTTTAAAACGTGGAAAAATTTGGCGATATAAAAATGATGAGGCATCACAAAAAGTTCCATGCTATTTCAGCACCGCCATGAACTTGACTTAATGTGTAATTCATTACTTCTCATCACCGAGATGCCCTTCACGTAAAAATCGTGAAACTGAAGACGGCTGTTTATCCGGCGGATCATGATGATGATCATCCTAATTCATAGGAGATAATATCGGTATCATTACCTCCCTCACTTGATACGATCGGGTAGCACGTGCTCTCCTAACCTCAGATCTGGTGGCCATTACGCAGGTACATTAAATTACACCAAGCGAAAGGTGGGAAACAATCGGAATTTTTTAATTTCAACGAAAATTTTATAACTATGAGAAAATATTCTCGTAGGCCTGTTCTGTAGTTGGATTTATATGTCTGTAGGCGTGTGGTGATGAGTCAAAATTAGGTCCAAAAATCAAAAATAATGAAAAGTATTTTGCACTGTAGAAGAAAGCAGATATCCAATGAAAATTATTTTGACCGTTGACTAATTGCGACATAGCAAAGTAGGTGAAAATATAGTTTTAGAAAGAATTAAAGTTGATATTCGTTTCTTCACCCAAAAACACCCTTGAAAATAAAATACCAATCTCTCAAATAGTTCACCTTCCAAATACGTCCAATTTTTTTTTAATGTGCTAACTTTGAAAGAACTGTACGGATCTACAGGAAACTTCACAGACTTTTAGAAATTTATAAACCACACGTAATCGCATACATTTAACTTATGAAAGAAAATGAGAACTGGATATATAAAATAAAATGTCTGGGGAGTTTTGTTGAATTCATCCCCTTGTTTTTTTCTCATCATAACAGATTATTTAATAGTTTTGTTTGGTTTGTTTTTTGTTATACAATACAAATTGTTGAAAAATACATTTTTTATCTTTGTTTGTCTTCTCTCAATATCTAATCTACTAAACTACTACATCTGAGTTTAATCTCAAAAATGATAACTTTGAAGGGATTACACTACTACAGGAAACATTGCAGTATATATATAAGTGGGAAGTTTATGGGCCGACAAACAGCTGAGGTCATCGCCGGCCCTCTGCGTGTTTTCCATCTTTTTCTTTTCTTTCGCGCATATTTTGTTTTAAACTGCAGCCATTTGAGCGTCCCGATCTGGTTACAGACTCTCTGATTTCAGATATATATATTACGTTGATATTCTAGAATGCTAGTCTCTCGTTTGTACCTCAGGTTGTCAAATACAGAATAAAAACAAAACATACAATACATATATATACATCACCACAAACATAGATGTCTGGTCACATTCATTCCCCCAGAGTACTCGATATTCCTCGGGGCGGGGTTATAAGCAACCCCTTCCTTTCACGCTAATAAATTACTTTCATTACAATAAATTAACACAAACACAACACTCGATAGAAACATAGATGTCTGGTCACATTCATTCCCCCAGAGTACTCGATATTCCTCGGAGCGGGGTTGTAAGCCACCCCTTCCTTTCACGCTAATAAATTACATTCATTACAATAAATTAGCACAAACACAACACTCGATAGAAACATAGATGTCTGGTCACTTTCACTCTCCCAGAGTACTCGATATTCCTCGGGGCGGGGTTGAACCCTCTCCACTCTTCCTAATAACGTACTCCAGACATCACACACTCACCCAAGCTTACTCCATATTCCTCGGGGCGGGGTTAAATCACCCCTTCCTTTCATGCAATAAACTAACATAAAGTCAAACACAGACACAACACAAACACCTAAAACTATATATATATTTAAAAATCCCTATAACCCTGAGGTACCGGAACGATAGGAAGTTAAGGTCCGAGCGGATCGAGGTCACGATAACTCGAGTGGTAGAGCAGCGGCGTTTCTAGCCGAAGATCGTGGGATCGAATCCCGCTCGTGCCAATAACTTTTTTTATCTCGACTAAAAACCTTAATTAATTGTAATATATAATTGGTCAAGCGGACCACGAAATTAGTGAAGTTATCCTAATTTTTTGATTTTCGAAAAAATGGAAGGGATTCACAATTCACATCAGTTTGGGAAAAAATAGTCTTCATTTTCGGGAACACGGGTTTGTTTAGGGTTTTTTTGGGACGCAGCAAACAAATATCAACTTCGTTTCTTGCTAAAAATAAACCAAACGTTTAGATTGTCCATATAAGAGAGAAAAATGAGGATGAATTCAACAAAAATTCAAACATTTTGTACCTTTAGATCTCATTTATTTTCGGAGGCCAAAATTATTTCAATGCGTTTAGTTCATAAAGTTTCAAAATACTACAAAGTTTCCGGTTGATCAGTGCAATCCTTTCTTATCATTTTTGTGATTTCCGGGAAAAAATAAGAAACCAATGAAAAAGAAAAAAATTTAAAAATTATTATTAAAAAATTTGTATTTAGCTTTTTTTTGGAATGTATCATCAACTTTGTTTTTTGCAAAAAGATAAAAATAACTATTTTCGCTATAAGTAATAAAAATGATAGTTCAACAAAAACTCACCAAATATTTTATTTGATACATTCTTTTCGTATTTATTTACAGAGATCAAATTTATAACATTGCGTTTTGTTTATAATGCAGTTTTAGTTTACCTTATAATTGATTTCATAACGTGTACTGTTCCTATAAATGAATCTTTCAGAATCAGATTTTTGTGATTTTAGAAAACAAATCCGATGCATTAGATAGACCGCGAACTATTAGAGAGAATTTTCTTTATTTTCATGACCTATTTATGGTAGCAAGAAACGAATATTAACAAATTTTTTAAAGAATGAATTCGACAAAAACTACAAATACTTTCTTTTATATCTCTAGTCCTCATTTATTTACACAGTACAAATTTATTTCATTGCGTTTAATTCACAAAATTTCCAAATACTGCAATGTTCGTACGATAGAGTAACGGTCGAGCAACTCTTCAAGTGCAGAAGGCTTGATGTATATAGACAATATTTTGGCATATCATCAGACTTGTGCGTAGTCTTGAGGCACGGCAGCGGGCACAGATCGCTCACGATAGCTCAAGTGGTAGAGCAGCGGCGTATCTAGCCGAAGATCGTGGGTTCGAATCCCGCTCGTGCCATTGACTTTTTTTATCTCGACTAAAAACCTTAATTAATTAGTATAACTTTGAAACGATTGCCTTGATTTACAAGAATACACAAAACCATACTTAATGGAATAACTTTATCCTCTGCAAATAAATTAAAAATTGAATAATAAACTGAAGAACTGAGTTTTTTCATCCTTTCCTTTTCCTATTTATCCCCGTCTATATAATCCTGAAAGGATAATTTGGCCGAACCATTACCAACGTTTTTCCCATCGTCGGCTCTTTTCACCTCAAAGAAGCCGACTCTTTACACAAAAATTCGTTATATCCCGACTTCCTTCCCCACCCCTTCAAAATCCAACGTATATAAATATAAAATAGCAATATCTCACTGGCACTCTCAACACGACACGCAAGAATGACACAATTACGCAGAAAACAAACACTTTGAATGAGTAGAAATACTTTGATTGAATATAAAAAATATTTTTTGCATTGAATAAATTCACTTTTTTCCACATTCTACACGTATTTGTTAAATGTAAACAATGTTTGTAAATCCCAGGCCCTGAAAATGTCTCAATAAAGATCGAAACGTTGGCACGATAAATGCTTTGCTGAAACCTACCGCACCTCACGATTTCCGAATAATCATAGACTAACTGTCATTAATCACCACATTCAAAATACTTATGAATTTTTAAGTGGAACTAGGGGATGGCCGGGAAAAAATGCCCACGGCGAATCCAGAAAACAATAATTTATCGTTGCCGATCATTTTGGTCTGCCTATTCTCACTTGTTTGGATACGCATTTCCCCTACTTATATCCCTGACCAAGTACTCCAAATGGCGAAAAGTACAATATAAACGCGTCTGATAGACCAAAGAAAAAAAAATTGCCCCTGGCGAGTCCAGCTCAAAAATCTATTTTTTTATGATCTAAAATTCGTATGCAAAAGCTTTAAGGGAAGTTTAAAACGAATTCTAATTGTTAAGAAATAGCTACTTCCTTGAAGTTCGTAAGGTTGCAAGCATATGTGCTCCCATTTAAAACCACCATCTTGTATTTCTCCGCTCCTAGGGTTTCGTTGGGAAGGACGCATGGATACATGTAATTTTCGACTTAGTATCACAAAAAAAGTTTCATTAAAATCGGTGATCCCAAGTCCGTAGTCTTGTTAGTCTTAGGAAGTTAGTTTCCGTTCAGGAAGAGTTATATAATGAAGAAACCTCCGGCTATTGTGTCTATAAGATAAAAAAAAACTCCAGCCCGAATATAAAACTTCCATTATTCAATGTGTCCTTTAATGGACCCATTAGGACTAAGCATATTTTTTCATTTGATCGACCCTTTGCCTCTTGAGAAAGTCATAACTCCGGTGAACCGTGAGAAAGGTGATTCCCGATGGAACCGGGCCGATCGGCGATAAGCCCTTCCTGCAGGTGTATCGGTCAGTTCTGATGTCGTGGGAATTCCGATCGAGAACAAGGGCGCGAGACATATCGCACTTCCGCAGTTTCAGCAGGAAATGAGGGCGGGTCGCATTGAATTTCAATTGGCCATATCAGCTTGAGAACGTGGACTCGGTCCCGCTAAGAAACCGTTTTGAAATTTTTACTTATTTGCTCTTTTTTGCGTAAACTTCGATCGGCTAACATAAATCAAAAAGTAACGCACCCGAACCAACCAACGAAACGTAAACATACAGCATACAAAAATACTAAAGTTACCAATGCTACAATTTTGAAAGGACGATGGACTCTAAGGCATTTTTTTAACATTTCATAACCATTTTGTGAAA